CCGAGCGGTCTAAGGCACCAGATTTAAGTTCTGGTTCTCGAAAGAGAGCGTGGGTTCGAACCCCACTCCTGACAATTCTTCCAACGTTGCAAGCACGTTATTCTATTTTTGATTCTTATATTGCGATTTACTAACAGAACGATTCTCTTAGAATTTCATTCGTTAATTTAATTTTTCTAAGAGCAAAAGAATAAGAAAAAGAGTAGTTGTTGAAGCAATCACAAAGTATCCTTTCATCCTGTCGTGTTTCTTGGTGTGGAGTTTGGGCATTGCTGCGAGTGTCTAACGTGCCAGATCGTCGGGTTTGAAAGAGCGTGGGTCTGAACCCCACTCCTGACACGCTGTTCCTTTACGTTGCAAGCACGTTATTCTCTTTTTGATTCTTAAATTGCGATCTACTAACAGAACGTTTCTCTTAGAATTTCATTCGTTAATTTAATTTTTTAAGAGCAAAGGTATAAGAAAAGAGTAGTTGTTGGAAGCAATCACAAAAGTATCGTTTCATCTCACTCGTGTTTTTTCTGGTTCGGGAGTCAGGATGGCCGAGCGTCTAAGGCGCCAGATTTAAGCTCAGGGTTCTCGAAAAAAGAGAGCGTGGGTTCGAACCCCACTCCTGACAATTGTTCTTACGTTGCAAGCACGTTATTCTATTTTTTGATTCTTAAGGTATCCGACTACCCTAAAACAATGATTTTTTCAAAAACTTGGCAAATTTTATGACTTAATTTTATAGACCATTTTATTAACTTAATAACAATACCAAGTACTTTATTTTCCCTCCAATAGAACAAAATCTACAAGCGTTTTAGTAAAAGCAAATGCCATAACTTTACACAAGATGTCAAACATTAAAATGCGTTTTACTAAATGTGTTTTTTCGAAAACTCAAACGGGGACCGCGATTGCTCAAAAGTTTTGAAAATAATTAGCTGAAATTTTTTGCTTATGTTCTGCATAACAGTAGAAATGTTTTGATCTTCAGAATTATCAATCACTGTTTTATTTCAAAATTTGCAGTTCTTTATGTGAATATAGTTCAATGTTTCTTTAAGCAATTTCGCATAATGACTTAGATAAAGTGCTCTAGTTTTTGTAAAAATTAAAATATCTCTTATCGTTACGGTCACTTCAAACAGGAATAACAAAGTAAGACATCAACATTGAAAAATTGAGAATTTGTTCATAAAATCTTTGTACAGAGCGGGACCCGTTTATGTAATTTTTCGTACATTTTTACTAGTTTTTTCCCATTTTAATAATAAAAATATTTTTTTCTTTTACCAATTTTAGGATTTTTTCCTTAAAATATACAAAAAAATATAAAAATCACAAAAAGACACCATATCTCCTTTTTTCAAAAAAGAGTTGTCGCAAGCAGTCGGATACCTTAAATTGCGATTTACTAACAGAACGATTCTCTCAGAATTTCAATCATTATTTTAATTTTTTTAAGAGCAAAGGCATAAGAAAAGAGTATTTGTTGGAAGCAATAATAAATTATCCTTTCATCTCACTCGTGTTTCTTGGTTCAGGAGTCAGGATGGCCGAGCGGTCTAAGGCGCCAGATTTAAGCTCTGGTTCTCGAAATAGAGCGTGGGTTCGAACCCCACTCCTAATAATTGTTCCAACATTGCAAGCACGTTATTCTACTTTGATTCTTAAATTGCGATTTTACTAACAGAACTATTCTCTTAGAATTTCATTCGTTAATTTAATTTTTTAAGAGCAAAGGTATAAGAAAAGAGTAGTTGTTGGAAGTAATCATAAAGTATCCTTTCATCTCAATTCCTGTGTTTCTTGGTTCAAGAGTCAGGACTGCCGAGCGGTCTAAGGCTCCAGATTTAGCTCGTCCTCGAAAGAGAGCGCGGGTTCGAACCCCACTCCTGACAATTGTTGCAAGTATCAATTAATGTATTTTGATTCTTAAATTGTTATGATTCACTAACAGAACTATTCTCTTCAAATTTCATTCATTATTTTAATTTTTTTTTAAGAGCAAAGGTATAAGAAAAGAGTATTTGTTGGAAGCAATCATAAGTATCCCTTTTTATCTCACTGTGTTTCTTGGTTCAGGAGTCAGGATGGCTGAGCGGTATAAGGCGCCAGATTTAAGCTCTGGTTCTCGAAGGAGAGCGTGGGTACGGAACTCTACTCCTGACAATTGTTCTCACGTTGTAAGCACGTTATTCTATTTTTGATTCTTAAATTGTGATTTACTAACAGAACGATTCCTCTTAGAATTTCATTCATTAATTTAATTTTTTAAGAGCAAAGGTATATGAAAAGAAAGAGTTGTTGGAAGCAATCACAAGTATCCTTTCATCTCACTCGTGTTTCTTGGTTCAGGAGTCAGGATGGCCGAGCGTCTAAGGCGCCAGATTTAAGCTTTGGTTCTCGAAAGAGAGCGTGGGTTCGAACCCCACGCCTGACAATTGTTCTTACGTTGCAAGCATGTTATTCTATATTTAATTCTTAAATTGCGATTTACTAACAGAACGATTCTCTTAGAATTTCATTCGTTAATTTAATTTTTTTAAGAGCAAAGGTATAAGAAAAGAGTACTTGTTGGAAGCAATCACAAAGTATTGTTTCATCTCACTCGTGTTTCTGGGTTGAGGAGTCAGGATGGCCAAGCGGTCTAAGGCGCCAGATTTAAGCTCTGGTTCTCGAAAGAGAGCGTGGGTTCGAACCCCACTCTTGACAATTGTTCCAAAGCTGCAAGCACGTTATTCTATTTTTGTTTCTTAAATTACAATTCACTAACATAACGATTCGCTTCGAATTTCATTCATTATATTAATTTTTTTAAGAGCAAAGGCATAAGAAAAGAGTATTTGTTGGAAGCAATCATAAAATATCCTTTTATCTCACTCGTGTTTCTATGTTCAGGAGGAAGGATGGCCGAGCGGTCCAAGGCGCCAGATTTAAGCTCTGGTTCTCGAAAGAGAGCGTGGGTTCGAACCCCACTCCTGACAATTGTTGCAAGCACGTTATTGTATTTTTGATTCTTAAATTGCAAATCACTAACAGAACTATTCTCTTTAAATTTCATTCATTATTTTAATTTTTTTAAGAGCAAAGATATAAGAAAAGAGTAGTTGTTGGAAGCAATCACAAAGTATCCTTTCATCTCACTCGTGTTTCTTGCTTCAGGAGTCAGGATGGCCGAGCGTCTAAGGCGCCAGATTTAAGCTCTGGTTCTCGAAAGAGAGCGTGGGTTCGAACCCCACTCCTGACAATTGTTCTTACGTTGCAAGCATGTTATTCTATTTTTGATTCTTAAATTGCAATTTACTAACAGAACGATTCTCTTAGAACTTCATTCATTAATTTAATTTTTTTAAGAGCAAAGGTATAAGAAAAGAGTAGTTGTTGGAAGCAATCACAAATAATCCTTTCATCTTACTCGTGTTTCTTGGTTCAGGAGTCAGGATGGCCGATCGGTCTAAGGCGCCAGATTTTAAGCTCTGGTACTCGAAAATCAAACAATTGTTCCAAAGCTGCAAGCACGTTATTCGATTCTTACACTAACATAACGATTCGCTTCGAATTTCATTCATTATATTAATTTTTTAGAGCAATAAGAAAAGAAGTATTTGTTGGAAGCAATCATAAAATATCCTTTTATCTCACTCGTGTTTGTAGTTTCAAGCAGCGTTATTCTCTGGTTTGAAAGAGAGCGTGGGTTAGAACCCCACTCTGACAATTGTTACGATTATTGTATTTTTTGATTCTTAAATCACAAATCACTACAGAACTATTCTCTTTAGAATTTCATTCGTTAATTTAATTTTTTAAGAGCAAAGGTATAAGAAAAGAGTAGTTGTTGGAAGCAATCACAAAGTATCCTTTCATCTCACTCGTGTTTCTTGGTTCAGGAGTCAGGATGGCCGAGCGGTCTAAGGCGCCAGATTTAAGCTCTGGTTCTCGAAAGAGAGCGTGGGTTCGAACCCCACTCCTGAATTTTCGTCCAACGTTGCAAGCACGTTATTCTATTTTTGATTCTTAAATTGTGATTTACTAACAGAACGATTCTCTTAGAATTTCATTCGTTAATTTAATTTTTTTAAGAGCAAAGGTATAAGAAAAGAGTAGTTGTTGGAAGCAATCACAAAGTATCCTTTCATCCTTTCACCTAGTTTTCCTTTTTGTTCTGGAGTCAGATGGCCGAGGGAGCCAATAAGTGCCAGATTTAAGCTCGTAGAAAATGGAAAGAGAGCGTGAGTTCGAACCCTTACCCTGACAATTGTTCTTACGTTTGCAAGCACGTTATTCTACTTTTTGATTCTTAAATTGCGATTTACTAACAGAACGATTCTCT